GGGCTCTGAGCAACCTGATCTAGTTGAAGATGTCCCTGCCCACGGCAGGGGGGTTGGACTAGATGACCTTTAAAGATCCTTTCCAACCCAGACTATTCTATGATTCTATGATAAGATGTCTCAAGAGCCTTCTCACCATCAGCTTCTCCGGAGCACACTGGACTGTTGAGGAAGACAGACTCCATGGACAGCCAGGGAGCAAAACATTTAAGATATTTGAGAGCATGAAGAGGACAAAAGACTGGACTGATGCAGCAAGGTTTTGATTTCAGGAGGCAGTCAGATTGCTATACCTGTTAAAGCATGCTTCCTCCTTCCAGGTGGCAGCCCACAGCCTAAGACCCCTTTAAAAGCGCTGGGTGAGGCAAACATGCATGGTGGCAAACGGAGAGCCCAGACGCAGCAACAAGTAGAATATGCATACTCCATCATAGCTACAACCACCTCCCCAGCACACCCACAAGGCTGCTTCTTCAGTCTTCCTGAATAATCCAAACTGTCCTTGCATGTCTCCACATTTTCCCATTCCAGCCCCATGCCTCAGCCAGAGAGCCAGCCAGAGCCAACCAGAGGCAGAAGGCAGCCCCTTGTGACCCTGACTGACATTTCACCGACAAGCATGTCAAGACCTTTACGGAAACTTTGCAAAATTATGCTGCAAAGATGTTCAAAAATTCCCACATTTCTCATGTTTTACATAAACATCTCACGATCCTAAGCCTTTAGAAGGTGAAGGAGATACCAACTACATTCACTTCTTCCAGTGTTTGTCACATTGGGGCCACACTGTATCAAGACCAGCAGCTCTTACCATTTACGCGCAAGTAACTCTCCCTGTTGCTTGTAGTGAGAGGAGAGAGAATGAACTCTCCCTTAGTTGGGAGACACTTGGCCACTGATCAAACCTACACAGTTTTACCTTTACATTAGTAAAGATGGAAAGACACACAGGCTTCAAAACACATGTCAATACACATTATACTCATCTGTCAGAAACTAAGGAAAAAGCAACACTAGTTTACCATTATTAGACACGCTTGACAAGACTGTCCTGTAACACAAGACACTGAAGCATCTACATGCTGCATGGTTTGGATTCAATACGCCAAACAAAATTGCAATCAGCTTGCCAACAAATGAGAAGTTATTAATTTTCATACATCTCAGATTTCACCCTAGGTTTTACAACTCTTTGCTGCCCTTGCATCACCCAAGGCATTTCAAAACCTTGCTGCAAAGAGAGAATTGGAGAGAACACTGTTTCTAACACGTGCTATTAAATATTTAGGCCTTGACTCTCGAGCAAATTCTTTGCCTCCGATGGCAAGACTACTTACATGGTTAAAGCCAGGCATGCAGACTTTGGCAGGCATAGGATCTTAATTCCTCTGAATGCAAACCCAGAATCTACCACCAAGCAACCAGCAAACTCTCTCAAACCAAACCTGCACACTGTGTGTGTATATATAGGTATATACAAACATACATGTACTGAACTTTCTGTGCAGAATTATGAGAGAACTGCCCCGGCACACCTCAAGGCATAAAGCTGTGGCACAGGGGAACTCTTTGGTAGTCATCTCTTCATCCCCCTAGTCTTAAAGGCTATGCTGGATCTGTCACTTACCACAGAGGAATTTTTTAAGTTTAAAAAAAAAAAAATTGGTTTCACACGAAAACCAACAGAGATTAGTTCATTTTTTAAACCCTGAAGGTGACCTTTCATTAAGTCAATGGGAGCACTTCCATTACAGAAGAGGGGCTCTCCTTCACATTTTACAGAGAAGGAAAATACTGCAGAGTCCAGACCTAGTTCACCCAAAAGGCCTTGAGTTCTTCCATTAAGCCAGAAACAACATCCAGGATTCAACTCCCAGACTTGAGCTTCAACCACTAAATCTGCTTCAAAGCAATTCCATTGCTAAGCTAATGGCTGCAGGAGACTCTTCCTACATCCACTTAAACCAGCAGACACTAATCTCTCCATCTGCAATAGATACGCATGCCATAGGGGTCTGGACAGGATAAGCAGAACAGATGTTTAAGTGCACATACAGTCTGGGGAATCATCTTCAGAGCTCAGCTGCTAGCTTCACAGGGCACAGGAACTAAGAGATTTCTAGAGACCTTCACAGGACACGGGAACTAAGGAGATTGAGACATCTGTCCTTTCTTGTACCTTTGCTGAGGGAAGCATTAACCCCAGCAGGAAGGTGGAAGCAAGCAGGCATGCGTCATACCTATGGATATTGCACAGCTCTCAAACACTCCCAGATACATCTGACCCAGCAAAGTGATCCACACCTATGACAAAAAGAGCATCATGCTACAAAACCAAACCAGGAGCAGCATAGCACTGCCAAAACACACCTACACGTGCCCCAGTACTCATTAAAAATACTATTCCTAAATGCCTGAACTGTTGGGAGATTTTGGCTGCATCAAGGCAACTGCTTCAGCAGGACTAAACACAATTTCCCTCAAGCCAACACAAAACTGCAGAAAACTGCCGAGTCCCCAGTCACTGGAAGCAGCCTTCAGATCCCACAGTGTAGCTATCTGGCTAAGTCCTTCAAGGTAGCCCCAGCCTGTCACAGTAACAGGCTTCAGAGCACAAACACCTGAACACGAACATTTCAATTGGCCGCAAAAGGCACACACAGGATCCAAACGACAGTGGTCGATCCGACCCGAGGGACTTTTACTCAGGCTCCTCGCACAACTCTTGGCTGCACAGGGCAATGAGGACAAATGGACATTTTCAACAGCACGTTAGGTTGCTGAATGCTTTCTCACACAGGGCCACTTACTTCTTCCTTCAGCCCCTGCCACATGGACTAGCCTGCTGTCAGTAGGCTCCAGGGAGCGATGCTCTGCACAGCCTGAAGGGCTGCTCTCAAAGTGGTGCCTGGCCCATACAGCCAAAGAGCACAAGCCAGCCCTGGCTACACAAGGAGGCCTCTCCCCTTTCCTCCAGTAAGGAGACAGGGCAAGAAGCCCAGAGAAGGATCTTAAAGATCTCATCAGGCTTAGCCCAATGACCAGCCTAAAGTTGTGCCATCAGCTCTTTTCATTTGCAGAATTTATTTCATTTACAGGACTCCTCTGAAGCAGGGACCACCTCTCCCACACTTGCAGAGGGGAAGAGAAGTTCAGTTTGGTAACTTTGGAGCGACTCTAGGACTCCTCTGGGGGAATATTCAGAAACCAGCAATATCACATGTACAAAATCAGTTGATGCTTCATGCTACAGCATAGCCACACTTATCTACACCACTGGACTTCAAGAACTTGTACCTACCTCAAGTGCCCCAAGCTATAGTATCGCGACTCTCCGTCCGTTGACCGGACGACCTTGACAGTGAACACGGGCTGCAGCTGCCGTAGCTCCAGCAGCACAATGGCCAGGTAGTGAATGAAGAGCAGAGCATCCACCAGAGACACTGCGTACTGCACTATTCCTTGGTAGTTGGTGTCCTTTGAGTCCAAGATGCGAACACCATAAAACAGCCAGTAGGAAAACACAAACAGGAATATGAGGACCAACAGAAGGGCCCGAAACACAAAAACCCTTGGTATATCTGCCTTGGGCTGGCGGAAGAACAGAGCCCAGGTCCCAATCAGAAGAATGAGGAGTTTAAATGCCACAGAGATGAACAGTCCCTCACAGACAGTACCACATGGCTCCAGATCATCCCGCCACAGGATCTGGGGTAACAGAATGAAGGCGATGGGGGTAAGGAAGACGAGGAGTCCAAGAACAGCTGCCACTGTTAAGCCCAGGTAACGTTTGCAGTCCAACCCAACGCTGTCCTCCAGATCCTTACTGATCCGGGCAATGTCCTCCTGGGAAATACTGTGCTCAGAGGTGCCTGTGATTGCTGTCGTGGTCTCACCCCAGTTGTCATCCTGAGGAAGAGATAAACAAAAATAATATTGAAACAATCAGGTTATTCCTTCCAGGTCTTCTATTTTTCTTGCCCGGAAAAAGATTGCAACAACAGACTTAAGTCCCAGAAAAAAAAATACAGCAAAAGCAACACCTTTAATATATTGAATAATCAACCCTGAAAATTAGCAAAGGTTTGGAAACAACAGCAACTTGTCCAAACCAGTGACTGTAAACATTAGGTGTTAAAAACCTGTAACTGTAGAGCAGGTAGCTCAGCTTGCTATGCCACTCACTGTACCCCAGAGGTTCCTCTTCCAGCACACTTAACGAGTAATATCACATAACTCCTGGAAACTGCAGTAATTATCAGTTCTCATGTGCAGGGCAAGGACTAGCACTCTTCCAGCCCACAAATTCTGCGGTGCAAGTGCACCACAGAAGCACCTGGAAGGGAAATTTTCCTTTCAGTGTTTCAAGCCTGTTGTTGTTGTTGTTGTTGTTACACAATCAAAAACGTGTTCACGCATTATTTTTCCATCCATAACAGAAGCAACTGCACTTCCAGCAAGTGCTTCCACTTTGGTTTCTTTTATTCTCCTCTACAGTAGCACTGCCCTCAATAGCTGACATTCTAATAAAAGTTTAGTTAAATCAACAAATCACAGGTGGTCACAGAGGATATTTTCAGGTATGGGGCTTTAAGTTTAGAGGATCCTAGACTACCAAGTAGCTCTGGTATTTAGAGTCCAGGACATTGTCAGAAGCCACTCAGCCACAAAGAAGCTTACCTGAAATACAGTCGCCATATAGTCAAACTTCAGATTACATTACATTTTCTGAAAGTCTCATTTCTTCCCTAGCTAATATCAGAGGACTTCTGCAAGCTAGTTCTCCCATCCCACGATGCCTCCAATTGCTCCTTCCTGGTGCTGGCACGGCCAAAGAGTTACACTGACATGTATGGATTTGACTCACAGCTGCTGCTGGAGTGACTCATGCACATGAAGACTCCTGATACTTCCCACAAATACACAAACAGTAGCAATGCATGCGCTTTGTTGCTTGGCACCTGACACCTTTGTAGCTGCAACGCTCATTCAGAAGTGCACGTTTTTGCTCTTCCTCCTACCCTCCTGAGTGTATCTTCCTGCAGCCTGTGTCATTAATAGGATTTACACCTTCCCCCAGACTTCTGCAGCTACGCATGCTGATCAAAGCATTTTGTTTTAAAGAAGCAGGCATCATTTTAAACCTTTATTCACTTCCTTATAAGAGTTAGAGGAAAGTCTTCAAGAATCTTTGGGAAAGGAGTAGACAGAGGCAGCGCAACTACTTTGAACAACTCCAAGGATTTAACTTCTAATGCACTCCAAGACATGAATACCTCCCATGCCTAAAGCAGTAGGGTTTTGAGACAGAGCAACCACAAACAGTCAGCATCTTGAATTAATGAGGGGTTTTTGAGTCATTTCTCACCAAAACAGAGGACCCAGAAGAGATACCTGCACTGTAGTATGTCCTGAAAGGCAGCATAATCCTATCACATTTCCCTCTTTGTCAGTGTCTCCAGTAAAGCAATCTAAGCATTTCAACTATTTTATGTTTATGCATGGAATAGCTCTGCATAGTTTCCTCCATTTGATGAACTGAGAAACTGTGCAGAAGAGAGGAGGGACAGAAACACCACAGCAGCTTAAGGCTACAGCCCACAAGACAACAGGCAACCCTAGTCTCAGTCTACCTCTTACAACAGCTCTTCCCACTTTAAGTGGCACAAGCAAAAAACGTGCAGTTATATGGAAATATGAGTCTAAACCTCTAGTGGTACAAAGCTGTTGGACCCAACCCAGGGCACCCTGCTCCCTAGGAGAGAAGTCTTGCTCGTGCATCAACTTACTTTGCTTTGGCTTTAATCCACACTGAGGAGGTCTGCATGAAAACAAGGGCTTAAGAATTCACCAGCACCTTTAGATCTATTTGAAGTAATAGCTGGGACTCATGAAAACAAGCATCCAATTACAAAATACCAAATGGCAGTACATGAAGTGAGCCCACCTGTAGCTACATGAATACTGTAACAAGTACTACCATACACAGTTTGGGTGGACACTGGGCATCAATTTTTTTTTTTTTTTTTTTTTTAAACAGGCAGAGGTGGAGCCCCACAGCCAAGGATTAATACACCCCAAATCCAGCCCAGGAGGCACTGGAACATCCTGCATTCTATGTCTTGCAGCATCAGCCATTCTTTGAAAATGAATATGCACCTTCACCTCAGCTGCTAGAGCACAGAGAGTACTGGATCCATTCTAGGTGCAATCTAAACCCAGCATTATTCCATTCTTTACTTAACCCAGTGTTAATGTACTAGCTTTCACTGAGTTCACCCTCCTTCCCGGCTATTTTGCATTAGTTCTACATTTCTTGCCTCCTTTACCTACCGGGATCCTGGTCCTAATGTGCTTTACACGATTACCTAGAGCAAGTCCTGCTTAAAAACAAAAGTGCACGTACAGGTGAAAGGGTTGACCTGAATAATGCACAGTGAGATGATGGAAACAGATGTTTCTATAGAGCTTGGTAGATGACGCTCTGGAGACAGAGGCAAATTAGTGCCCCAGGAGTAGTCACATCAGCACTGGTGCTGTCAAAAATAATGCTCTCGGAAAAAGACAAAACTGATCGAGACCTTGACTTTATGCATGAATAAAGGGTACCCATAAGTCGTGATTCTTTACTAACAGCACGCGAGCAACACTTTTTTTCCTATTCATGTGCCGGTAAGTCATATGCTCTGTTCCAGAAACCACACTCCACATTTGCTTTCACTCCTTCCTTACCTGGCCCTCCTCTGCCCGAGACGCATCGTTCCCAAGCAGTGGCTCTGCAGGAGGTGTCTGGATAGTGACGGACTTCTCAGACCGACTGCCATCTTTGCTTCGTGGCGATTTGTGCCTGTCGCGACTCCTTTTCCAAACAGAGCAAGAGGAGAACAACGTTACCAGATAGTTTCTGGAGCAGGGCCTGGAATCTGCTACACCTCTACCTGCAGCAGGTGCCCTAAGCATTAGGTCATAGTCATGCATGCCCATCTCTTGATCAATATTGACTCAATCTGTGACAAAACAAGGTTTGGAAGAGGTAGAAAGGGACCTTGCTCAGAGCAGCCTACAGCCTGGTGGCTGGGACAGTTTACCCCCTCAGTGATTGGAGAGGGGAGCAAAGGGGACAGGGGTACCTCCCCACCACCTCATCTTCTCTTAAAACAGCTTCTGCCAGTGCTGCGCTTGAAAGCGAAGCTTGCATTCTCCAAACAAGTGGCAACTCCATTTGGGATTAACTGGTCTACACAGGTCTCCACCTGCAATAAAGTGTCTCACAGGGACGTGTACAGTTAACACAAGGAATTAATCAAGACAGCTTTAGTTCCTGCAATGTAGAGTCTTGTCAACTAGGACCTTAACACTGTAGGACAATTGGTGAAGTTTATTTCCACTGGTTAATAACCCCCAGTTAAACTCTTACAAAAGAGAGCAAGAACATCAAGCATACCAGGCTAGTGCTTACTTCCAGAGTAGCCCTGTAGACCTCACAGCTTCTCATCTGAGAATGGTGGGGCTTAACTCATCTTGAGACAATCCGCTCACCAATATTTTCCTCCCGCTTGCTACCCGGACAGGAAAGCAGCCTTTGCACCAGGAGACCCTCACTGTGCTCAGGGACTGGCTTAAAGCTCAGGAACAACCAGGGTCCCAGCTATGCTCTCTCCATTGCATGTCTCTTGGAATTACCCAAAGCCCAAAAGGTTTCATGGGATGAGACTTTTTCCTGTTCACAGTGAGAGGATCTAGGATTTTTATGTTGTTCTGGGAACTCTGAATCTTTCCACATGACATTCTAAGCTTCAAAGGGCAATCCCTATTGGGGGTGGGGATCTTAAAGAAGGGAGAAAAGGCAAATGAGATGTTTTACTCAATAACTGGACTGCGAGCAAAGAGACTTCATTTCATGGAAGAATTCTTTTTTCCAACCACACAGGATAATTGCTTCTGAAACGCAAAGTTATTTTGGACCAGCTCAGTTCTAAGTCACAAAGACTGTAAGTGGCACACGTTTTGCATGTAAAACTAATGATGATGCAGGAAAAAAAAGGATAATGTTTCCAAGTAATCAGAAGTTTCAGAGCAAGATGGTTTTTGAGGCTGCTGAACTACCACAGAGAGGACTTGCTATTCAAGTTCAGAAAAGCCTGACTTCTAATCCAATCAATGCTGATAAAGGACTTGTTGTGGACTCAAGTACCACTCAAATTCTATTAAAAAAACCCAACACACCAGCAACGGAGTAGCCAGGAGGATGGTGGGGAAGAGATAGGAAACCTTATTATTACACAATAAAGAAATGGCATCAGAAGAGAAGACAACTGGCAATTATCAGTTTAGGAAGTCTGACACGTCTTCTCCCCAGAGACTCTACTCATCCCTTGCGCTTTAAGAGCAGAGTTAAGTGATCTTTTCCTTGTGCTGGCACTATCCCAATCTTTCTGGCCACACATGACCCCAGCGTGCATCCAACAGGTTGAATATCACTAAATTAGCAGCATTATTGCTTCCAGTCTCCTCACTGGGTTCCTCATGAGGACTCTCCACATGGTTCTCTTCCAGAGCTGTGGCCCCACTGACTTCATCCTGGCTTACAATTTTTTTCCACGGGACATGTCCTAGCTTAGAGCAGTAAGTAATTAAAAATAAGCATTTCCTTACCCTTGTCTGTGAGCTTTTTTGGAGTGACCTGAGTAGTGGGAGTATCCCGAATATGTCGATTCTGTATCCATTGCAGCAGACATCGGGTCTGCACAGAAGGGGCACAGATTTTACTTAGAAGACGAGTTCCTGGTGCTCCTGAGGTGGAGTCCGTGGTAAAAGTGCTTTCCTGGGTACTCTTTGCTTCCCAGTCATCAGTAAGGTCTGGTCCTCAGACAGCAGGCGAGCTTCACTTACAAGGAATCTGATCAGAGGGGAGGGAGGGTGCTCAGCTTCTTACGATCGACCTAAGGAAAGAGAAATGGTCATGGAAGGACACTCTAAGCAAATCACGACATCATTCCTACTGCAGCAGTTCCCTCACTCTGGCCATATGTCACCACTCATCACACTGTGCCCAATTTGCAAGCTCGTCCTGGCTGATATCTCTCTTTTCGGCCTAATGAAAGATATGCATTTGTAGAGCTTTAAACAAACTGATAACGTATCTCTGTTTTGCAAAGTCTAGCTCATTCATCTAAAAATCTGGAAGAAACAGCATAAGTCACCTGGAAAAGATAGTGACTTGGAGAAGGCTGAGCAGCCTAGATACAGAAATTCACCCCCAGAAGAAGTACTGGGCTCAACTTCCACACCCCCATCTCTTCACCTGTGTAATGCACAGCCCAAATACCCCCAGATTCAGAACAGCAGCTTTATAACCTATATATAGCGGGGAGGGGTGTGTGTGTGTGTGAGGTTGACTTTCGTAGGAGAAATGCAGGAGAGGATCAGACCACCATGTCCGAACCTGCTTTGTTTTCACAACTGCAAGGTGCGCCCATTTTACAAGCATTAGTTACTACACAATCCACGGCTCTATGAGCACCTCCCTTTCTTTGCAACCTTTGCCTCCAGAACCTAATTTGGGCCTTGAAGAATTGAATTTTATTAAAAATCATATCTATATATACATGTACTAATAACACTGGGGAGAATTGATTAGAGATCACATCTAGCTTATACAGGCCAACACTTCTTATAACGTACTTCCATTTGGAACAGAAGCTTAAGTCTCATCCGTAAAGGGCAGAAGAGGGTCATGGTTTTCAGAACAGGAGCAGGGCGACACCAGAACAATTCCCAACAGCGACATGTCAAAAACCCTGAACCCTGTGGGGAAGAAGGGTAGACACCAACCCGCTTCCCAAACCCACATCCTGCATTAGGTGAGAAGAGAAATGGAAAGGAGGGGAGTTAGTCACCAGTCTGGGGAAATGCATGCAAATGGTGAAGAGGTGCAGATGGATGGGTTGCAGCTACGGACGGAGGTACCTTGGCACAGCCCAGCATTTGGCACAAAGGAGCACTCTCACATGCCTCCTGCCCAGATGACTGCTGCCTCCAGCCAACACAGGGCTACAGCCATGCTGTACGTTCAGAGCGGGCAAAAGACCACTTTAAAATTAAATTAGATCCCTCTGTTATTTTCTGCTCACAGCAGTTTTCAAAGCTGTTAGCAATAAAACAGTCAACCACTGCCCTCTCTCCCCAAACACCGAGGGACAACAACAGAAACCGGGCTTTATACTTGGCCAACTATTCTTTCCAGCCATAAGATTCCTCCACTAACACCTCCAGAAAAGCTTGTAAGTGAGCAGAGAGCTCTACCACATGCAAGCCATGCCAAAGAATGAAGCCTCTTGCCCACAGGGTTCCTTGGCTGGCAGTGCAATCTGCAACGAAGTAAAGAAGCGTTCCCGCTGCATTGGGAGCTGCAGGTATTTGCACAACACTTGGGCTTGCCAGGGCTCTTGGAAAGGAGAAGGTGGGGGGAGGACCTTTTGTGTACAGGAATTCCCAAGCTCTAAGGGCATATCGTGCCTCAAGAAAGCTCCTTAAAGGCAGCACAGAATCTAGCAAGGATAAATAAGGATCGGAACAAAAGGCCTGGTTTTGGGAGGGGAGGAATGAGGATGAATTTAAACACAGCAAGACATAAAGCCAAGGCACGGCACAGTTTGGAATATGGCATCATTACTGTAACAGGAATAAAAATTCCCCAGCCTGGGACACATGATGTAACACTCATTAACTCCCTAGACTTGCACACAGCCTGTAGCTTAAGGATCCAGCAATAGGCTGGGACACATTAAACCTGATTTTTACCTCTGTCCTGCTACGCAACCTTGGACAAACCCTTCCTCTGTGTCTGTCCTTCAATAAATGGGGGTGAGGCCACCACCCCCCTGCCTTCAAAAAGCGCTATGATACCCGCAGAGGAGATGGCTACACAGGACCTTGGAAACATTAGGCATTACAAACCAGGAACACCCTCAGTTGTACAAAAGGTGGTAACAAGTAGTATGGGCTTAAACCACTGACTATTTGTGACGTTACTGGAGTCCCTTTGAGAACAACCACTGTCTTCACAAATACATACCACCACATTACAGGAATAGGGAAAGCAAGGAGAGCTGCCGGCATACATCAGTAAGGGTTACACATTTTTCCTTGGCCTCTGGGAAAGTAACAACTCCCAGCCTTTTCCTCTAACCACATAACATAATTTTTCCCCCCCAACTCCCAAACTGAAGAATCAGAGCTGAGACCGGGACTGGGAGCAGAGCCCCTCTTCTGCCCCCTCTCAGCCCCAGCAGCACAGGGTCCCGCTTCCCTAGAGACGTCGGAGAACATTTCAGCAGGTAGAGGCTGCTGTGGAAATGCACAGGCTGCCTAGACAGGAACCATGAGCGAGCGGTGCCCATTTGACGGTGGGTGAAGCAAGGCAGTGCTGGGCACCAGGCACAGAAAGCAGACTCATGGAAAGACCAACACAGGAACATCGGGGCAGGCTGGATCATGCCAACTTTTCAACACAGGAACATCGGGGCAGGCTGGATCGGGGCAGGCTGGATCATGCCAACTTTCGTTTTCTGTGTAAACAAGAGCAACAGTTTTGACACAGCCCTGTGAAAAGTCAACAAGAAGGCCCTCAAAAATGTTAGGCCTCCTGGACTGTTGTCAAAAGCAATACAATGAACCTGGCGACTCTGCACCACCTCTGGGCCCCAGCTGCAGGACACACTGGTGGCTAAATAGATCTTCCTGCCAAGGCAGTTACAGGGCTGCCGGGAATAAAATATATCTGCCCAACTTCAGCTGGAAAAAGCAGAAGACCACTGGCTTTGTCTGGTGCCCAACTATGGCTGATCTTCAACAAGGCTTCCTAGATTTGGCCAACAAAGGCTAGCCTGAGCTGCTAGCTAGTCACCACTCCCGATCTGAGCAGGATAATATGAAGAAACCAAGGAGGGAGGAGCACAGTCCAAACACACACTCCTCAGCCAAACCAAGCAAGCTACCTACCTCCTGGTCTATTTTACAGCAGGAAGGGGACCAGCCTTACCCCAGAAAAGCGATGGTAAAGAAGCAGCCCCATCACTGGGGCCTCATCCCTCCACAAACAAGTGTGAATCGAGAGCCCAATTTAGCCAATTGAAACAGCTTCACAAAAGATCATTACATCTTGCAGGATGCCACTGAAGGCATGGTCTGTTTGCAGAGCTTCTGGCCCTGCGTGAAAGAAAGCTCCTTCAGCCCGAGGGTACAGTTGCACTGTATTTCAGCATTGACAAGAAAGCCGGTGTAAGTAGCTTCCACCTCCACACCACGGTTCACCACTCTCAGTTGTGTCAACACAATTCTCAGCGAGCAAACAGCACCACTGGCAACAAAACAACAACAAAAAAAATCCCTTTTCTCCCCCTCGCCATGCTTTTGTCTTGGATCCTTTCCGTGACCTAGTTCACAGCACAGCCCCAAACAGCAAAACCAACACCAGGTTGAACAGCAGCGCAAGCCAACAGCTAGAGGGGAGACGGGAATGCCTCCTCCGCTCCAACCACGACAGTTGTGTAGCTGCACATCCAGCACTTTGCTCCCAGTAGGGCCGGCACTCTCACTTTGCCTTTCCCTTACTCTCCAATGACAGAAGGATGCCAAGTACTAGATGGAAAACAATGCTAAGGACGCCCCAAAGGAAATTTTGGGGCTCTATTCTGGCAAGAAGGATGGCCGCATCCTGCATGACAGTGAAGAAATGTAGTTACCCCTGAATACTGCAGAGATCACTGTAATTACAGTTTCTACGCAGTTACACTATTCATTGTAATTCCCTCTTTTCATACGCTCATAAATCTCCAGAAAGAGTTCTTTTGAATCGCTATTTTCCATGCTGGGAGCCCAATCCCATTTCCAATGAAGTTCACTTTGTGATCGTCTTCAAGGGAGCACAATTTGGCTCCCAGCCCAAGGGAAATTTAAAAGAGCAAGTTACATCTTTAAATCAAAGAGGGCAAACGCAAACAAGAGTGCTCTTTTACATCCCATGCTTTCCCGATGGATTTTCCCCTGTGAAGTCGAGGCAAATAACTCCAAAGCTGCTCAGCTTTGAAATCCTTGTCTGTATAGTTTCAATCTTACCCTGTTTAAAGCTTGCCATCAATTAGAGTTGATTTACCAGTTGGTTCATGAAGTTACATATATTTGGAAGTGCCATCTGGAGCACAAGCAGCCACAAGTGTCCGCAAGGATGTGCACACATTCAGCTCCGTACACTGTTGGCCTCACTTGTTAAACAGCACCAGCTGTCTATAGGGTAATGGATGCCCACGAGCTATCACGTTGAGAAATCTTTTTTCTTTGTTTAGTGAAACGAAGAGCTTTACAAATTAAACTCACAGAACCCCAAGAGCTAAGCTATAGGATAGCGTTAGGGTTCAAGAGTAAAAATAATTAAAAGACGGCTAGGCAGTGAGGAAGCCTTCCAACCCTGGCATTAACTTGGCTGCACGGTATGGCTGCAGCATATTCCTATTATTCACTTCAGAAAAATGAGAAGTTACGTAACTTGCTGTGTTCAACTGCATATATAGTTAAGACCTATGAGCAATGCCACAGGAACCTTTTGCTTTTTAATTTCCTGAGGAGGCCCCAATCCAGCCATTTGATCTGTAAGCACAGAAGTTTACCCATGCTGATACACTCACAGAGCCAAGGCTGTCAGTTTTAATGGCCAACGAGCTTTGGGAAACAAGGTTTT